AACTCTAAGAAGAGAGAATCTTGAAGTTTGTGAAGAAACTGGATGTCCTCCGAAGAGAGAAGGTCAAGACGGCCATCACCATCTGGACACAGACTTAGCAACAAGATAACATTGGCACGACTCCTATTTCAGGAGAGGAAGCATTATCTGATTTGCAGGAAGAGTGGACATTCTAGTTTTGTTGTTGTGCTTTGTTTGCTTTACTATGGGGTAATGAGCAGTACACAGAGAACTTCTGAGAAAGCAATGGATGCTGTGAATTGAATGTTTGTGTCCACCCCACTGGGACTGTATTTGAAGACAGGGTCTCTAAGGAAGTAATTAAGGTTAAACGACGTCATAAAGGTGGGGCCCTGATCCAATGTGATTAGTGTCGTGATACGAAGAGGTGGCAGATTGCTCACTCATTATCTCTCCACTTGCCGAAGAAGTCACATGAGCACAGCGAGATGGCAGCCGTCTACCAGCCTGGAGAAGAGGCTTCAGAACCAAACTTTAGTCTTGGTACTTTGACGGCACCATGAGCTTGGACTTCCCGGCATCCAGAACTGTGAGAAATTAATTTCTGTTGATTAAGCCCCTCAGTCTATAGTATCTTTGTTGTGGGGGCTGAGCAGACTACAATATGGAGTGAACAGTAAGACACTGGGGGATAGGGATACAAATAGGTTTCCAGAAAATTTTGGAAAACAATGGGATGAAATATAACACAGAACCTGAGCTTAGATAAAGAGGTCACAGGAGGGGTGTCTGGCCGGCTTGCAGCTCTTGATGCAGCTGTCGATACCGGGTTCATGAGTTCGAGCCCCACTTTGGACATGGAGCCTTCTTGAAAAAAATTTTAAAAAGGTAAAAAAAAAAAAAAGGTAAAAAGAAATTTTGAAGGACAAAGTGAAATAACAAAAATATTTAAGAAACTTCTTAAAATTACATGATAAAAATATTTGAGCTTTCAGGAAGCCAGAGAAATGCCTTCTAACTGGGGTCTGAGAGAAGAGAATTATGGAATTTGGAAACTACAGATTATCCATTCAACTTTGCTATAAATGTAGGCTCACGGCGGTTACTTGGGGTTTAGGTGCTCTGAGATCTTCCATGGGTCTGTTTGGAATCCCTGAATCTATTAAATCAGTGAAATAATATGCAAAATCTTCTATGCTTATATGTGTAACTTGAAACAGACAATTGGCATCCCCACTCCTTTCCCAGGCAAAAATTAATGAGGAGGATGGCCTTTTTCTGCAGACTTCGATGCTCACCAGATGATCATTTCAGCATATTTGCTTTTCTAAAGCCAAGACAGCAGCAATAGCTGTCACATGAGTGCAGGTAAGTCCGTCTCGTACACCTGGTACTCCAGGGATGGTGTGTTTCTCAAAAAGAGAAAGTGAGAAAAGAAAAGAATGAATGATACTCTGGTGATAATGTCATTTCACTAGCTATTTGGATTAACATTTCTGGCTCTGTCTCCAGCAAAATACTCAAAAGAGTGGTCTACACACTACTTCTCTTACATTCTCTCTGTCCTTTTCCCATGTGCTATTACCACTGTTTCAACTGTTGGGTCACAAACATGTCAAACCTTATCTCCTCCCTTGTTTAGTGTTTTCATGACTTTTTTTTGAAATTTAGAATCATCACATTTGGTTTCAAAATAATTACGTATCGTTATTTTTACTTGGATCATAGCTACTTCACAGTTTATTTAGGGGCAGACTGACATCTTTATGGTGATCTTCCAATTCAAGAACATGAGATCTTCCCATGACCTCATTGATGTCTTCTGTTGCAATTGTTCATAGTGTTAAAATGTATTTCACTCATTTCTTATTTAATTTCCTATGTATTTTACCTCCTCTTGATGCTGCTATAAAATTGCTCCTTTTTACCTCACTGCAGCTTCTACCTGGTTGTTGTAGTTCTACGTGGGAAATACTGGTCTGTGAACATTTACTCTGTGATTGCTACATTGCTAAACCCTCCTCCTGCTCAGATTAGCATGTCCACATCTGTTGTCTGTGTGTGCACACGTAAAAGCAACTGTCGTCTGTGTGTGCGCACGTACAAGCATCTGTCGCTTGTGTGTGCACACATAAAAGCAACTGTCGTCTGTGTGTAGGCACGTACAAGCATCTGTCGCCTGTGTGTGTGCACAC